CCAACCTGGCTGAAGGCTGGCACCATGTGGGAGCTCCCTGCTCCCACAAATGGCTGGGAGCCGAGGGACAATTCCTGACAGAAAATTGTGCCAAAAACCTCACAGAAGGTCCTGTAATCCCCAGCCCCTTTTGCTCCCCAGGTCACCAGCAGTAGGCCCACACGCCTGGGCATCCTTTCTCCTGCTGCCCACCCGCCCAGAACCAAAACGGAGGAGCCCAGCGACCCCACCATGTCATCGGAGCCCAGCGCCCCGCCGGCAGTGCCACCCCTGCACTCCCCCAAGTCGCCGGTGTGGCCCACCTTCCCCTTCCAGCGGGAGGGCAGCCGCATCTGGGAGCGGGGCAACCTGCTGCTACGGGACCTGCCCAGCCCCCTCCCCACCAAGAGGACCAGGACCTACTCGGCGTAAGTACCTGCTGGCTTTGGGACTGTCCAAGGGAGCCGTGGTCACCTGCAGTGCCTGCAGAGCCCTTTGCCACCGCGGTGCCCAGCGCTGCTGCACTCCTGCCCAGAGTGCTGTGGGTGGGTGCCACGCACGCGGACTGTCCAAGGGAGCCGTGGTCACCTGCAGTGCCTGCAGAGCCCTTTGCACCTGGTGCACTTTGCCACCACGGTGCCCAGCGCTGCTGTGGGTGGGTGCCACGCACGCAGCCCAGAACCGTTGTGTTTGTAGCAAAAATCCCTCCCTGTGCCTCCACCCGGGCAAGTGCCACCAGTGCAAAATCTTCCCATTCCTCCTGCAGGACAGCGCGTGCCTCTGCTGGCCCCATCTTCAAGGGTGTCTGCAAGCAGTTCTCTCGCTCCCAGGGCCACGGGTTTATCACCCCAGAGAATGGCACCGAGGACATTTTCGTGCATGTGTCTGAGTAAGTCCCAGGGCTGTGTGGTGCTGGAAGACCCCGGGGAAGCCATGCCATCAGCATGGAGCTGGAGGCTTATGGGCTGGGGTGTGGATATCTCCATGGGGTGGACATGGGTCTCTGCTTGTCCTGTACCCTCCATCACCAGTGGGTTTTCTTTTCCAAGGCACAGCTGGTGGGTCAGGTGCCTTCCTTCATTTTGGGTGGTCTGGGGCAGGGGTCCATCTCTTGGCTGTGGCACCACCACCACCACCTCTCCTTTCCTCTCCTGCAGCATCGAGGGAGAGTATGTCCCAGTGGAGGGGGACGAGGTGACGTACAAGGTCTGCCCCATCCCTCCCAAGAACCAGAAGTTCCAGGCGGTGGAGGTGGTCCTCACCAACTTGGCGCCCCACACGAAGCACGAGACATGGTCTGGCCAGATCATCGGCTCCTAGGCTGCCAGGGGGGCCGCCAGCCACTCAGCCCCATGGAGCAAGCCTGCCCAGCCGCTCCCGAGGGGCGTGGGGGGAGCCGAGGCGGCGGCGGGGCTGGGGCTGCCCCAAACACGCAGGCGTTTGCGTTCAGTGTCTTTTATAAGGTTACGGTTTCCTTTCTCTGTGTGTGTTTGTAAGTGTCTGTCGAGGGGGACAGGGGAAGTGGAGCCCTCCCTGACTGTCCCTCAGCTCCGGGGGCAGCACCGAGCCCCATGTTCCATTCCTTGCCCCTGAGGCCATGGGGAATAGAGGAACCAGTCCTAGCCCCAGCCCTCCAGCTCTACTGGGCTGAAGCAGGTGCTGAGAGCAGGAGGGGGTGGGGAGAGGCTGGGTGGCTTGGCTCACCCTCCTGAACTCCACTCTGGCAAGATGGGCACCCCACTCCGTCCACAGTGGGACAGCAGCAGTGGGACATGCCCTGGTGCAGGGACAAACAGGGTGCTGTGGGGTGGCATATCACTGTGCAGGGTCTGGGTGGCTGAGACCCATCCCCATCGCTGGCAGCTCACAGCACCCACCTGAGCCACATCCCTCCATCACAAGATCTCAGGTCAGCGGTGCCACGGGGAGGTGAGTAGTTCACAGAAAGGAAAAATTTGGTTTTCAGAGGCAGACAGCTGCTGGCAGGGCACCTGGGGCACTCGGTGCTGTGCCTGGGGGGCTGCACCTTGGCACGGGGCAGGGGGCACTTGGCACCTCTGTGCTCCCCACTGCTGCTGGGCAGTAATGCACTTTTCTTGGCCCAGTGCTGATATGGTTCTGGGGAGACAGACACTTTCTCCTCCTTCTCTTGCCCCCCGGCCCCCTGGGGACCCCTTTCCCACGCGTGTGTGTGTGTGTGCATGTCTGTAGCTTGCTGGGGTGGCGAGGGGCTGAGGGGTCTGAGCAGCCTCGGCCACGGGGCGAGCACAGCCACCTCCTCCCCAGCCCCTCGGTGTAGGCAGGGTCTTGTATACAAAGCACAAACTTTGGTTTTGGTCTTTTCTGCCATACCCTGGCCAGGTGGGCTCCCACAGCCCCAGGGAGCGATGGGGCAGAGGGCACGGGGACAGGGACAGCATGCACTGGGCTGGTCTTGAGCTCACCCCAGGGAAACAATGCTCCAGGAATTACCAGCATCTTAAGGGGTTCACAGCAGGCTGGGGACAGTGGGGTGCCAGCAGGTCCTCCCAAGCAGGGCAGGAGGGGATAGGCAGCTCCTGGAGCACCGTGCCAGCAGGAGCTGCTGGCACTGCTGGTGCTCAGCATGGATGGAGTGGGGTGTTTGCCACCTTTTTGCTGCTGCTGTTGGCTAAGTGGGGAGAGGAGCAGAGCAAGGCTGGTGCCACGCAGGACAGCTGGGCCCTGCAGATTCAGGAGGACCATGCTGGTGTGGGGATTGCCCCAGGACCCTCCGGCCCATCTCACTGCCAAGCCAAAGCCTGGCTCTCCCAGGGGCTGTGGCAACTGTGGCTCAGGCTCCAGGCATCCCCAGGACATGCAGTCAGCTTGGCCAAGGCAAACTGTTGGATTTTTTTTTTTTTAAATAAACTAAAAACCTAGACTTGTTGGTGTTTTTACAACTCTAGTGTGGTTCCCGCCTGTCTGACCATGTGTCAACCTTTGTAACATTGGCAATAAACCATTAAAAGTGACTTTCCCATGAGCCCTGCCCATCCTGGCTCTTTGTCCTGTGTGCATGTGTCACAGTGACTCTCTCAAGTAAAGTACCTGGAGCACCCAGGAATTTACCCAGACATCAGAAAGGACTCACGCACGGTATGTCCCCGAGGGGGCTGGAGATGCTCCACACTGTGGGCCTGGGACAGGAGGCTGCTGCTCACCTGAGGGGTGACCTGGAGTGGGGCTGCTCCCCCACTGCTCTGGGGACTGTGAAGTGTGTCCTGCCCTTCACCCAGCACAGCCCAGCACAAAGCACACACTGCATCCAGCTGCTGCGTGTTGTGGCTTTAATAGGATTGATTTTAATTTTTTAATATACACATCTATGTATTTAAATATATTTCTCATTTAACAGTTGTCATCAGCCAGACAGGAGCTGCCCATCTCACACTGATATGGATCCAAACAGCAGGACAGTCCCAGGTGGGGCCTGCCACGTCTGCTTGCTCACACCCATGGGGAGAAACCCCCAGTGATGCTGTGGGCACCCACCATGAGAGGAGCACATGGCAAAGGGGCCTCAGGGAAATGCCTTTCACTTCAAAGGTGCACGTCACCTCAGCCCCCAAGGCCACCACGGTGCCCCACGCCATCAGGGCCAGACCCTGCTCTTCACTCATCACTAAGGTCATTAGAGGTCCTGCTGGCTATGAATACTCACAGGAAAAATAAACTCCCCAAGACTCACACATATCCTGATCCACAGTGAAAGAGAGAGGAAAGAATCACAAAACACAATTCCTCCATGAAGGTTGCAGTGGAGGGCCAAAACGTGTGACCTGTGAAAAGGGTATCCTGCATACAAGCTTCTCCAACAGATCCTCTTGTCCCACACAGAAATCTTCCCTGGGTAGAAAGAGGAATTTGTGGATTTGCTGGGGATTTCTGGATGCCAGGCAGAGTGCTGTGCTCATGCAAATGTGCTGCATCAGAGATCTGATGTGCTGTAGTTAGGAGGTGCAGCCAGGTGGAGGAGAGAGCACCCCAGCAGCACTGGTCATGCAGTGTCCCTGCTCCTGTGGCCAGGCAGCAGTGCCAAGGGCCACCAGGGACTCTGCCCATGGCAATGTGGGGATCCAGCCCTGCCCTGCGTCTAAAAGCACCAGTGTCTCTCGCCTGAGGAGGCTGGTGGTGCCTTGGTAGGTGGCGGTAGGCAGCTGAGAAATTCCTCTCTGCAGTCCAGCTGCCAGTGGAAAATGGAGAGCCACAATGAGGAAACCAGAAACAGAAGAAAAAGGGGAGAGAAAACAGGACCAAGAATCGGGCAGTGCCATAACCAGCAGGGATGAGGCAAGAAAGGTTCCTGTAAAGAGTGGGAGAGGGTTTGCAGAGACCTCCAACATTCTCCAGGTCTACAAACACCAGATCTGCGTACCTTGGGGAGCTACAAGCAGGACATCTCCCTGGAGGGCATCCCTGAGCTCCTTTTGAGCACCAAGTTGTGACAAGCGTCACCATTGTGGCCACACACCACAATACAACTGCCGGGAATAAAAGGACAATGTGAGGGACAAGGTCAAAGGCTGAAGGAGAAATGTGGGTTTGCAACCCACAAAGATCCAGGGAGAGGAAGAGGATATATGACAATTGCACTGGACATCCTGCCTCCCTAAAGGTGAGCTTGTGAACTGGGTGTGTGGGATGAGATGGGGGAAGAGCAAGCTTGGAGGGCACTGCTGAGCAGGCACCTCCAGCAGCTCTGTGAACCAGGTATGGCCGGTGTTGGCCCCTGCTGAAAATGCCTCTGGCAGCAGGATGGAAAGCTGAGCACTGGGGAGGGAGGGGACTTGGTCTGTTATGAATGCCCAGGGTAAGGTTTTATAAGGACAACTCGGGGAGCTGGGCCTGTTTAGTCCAGGAAGAGGAGACTGAGAGAGGATCTCATTAATGCATATAAACATCTCAAAGGCAGATGCCAAGAGCATGGTGTCACATTCTCTTTGGGGTGCCCACCAACAGGATGATGAGCAATGGCCATGAACTAAAACACGAGGCTCCACTTCAACATGAGGAAGAACTTTACACTGAGGGTGGCAAAGCACTGGAACAGGCTGCCCAGAATCTTTCTGGAGACATTCAAAACCCACCCAGACACATTCCTGGCACCTGCTCAAGGTGACCCTGCTTTGGCAGGAGGGTTGGACTAGATGATTTCCAGAGGTCCCTTGCAACCCTAACAATTCTGTGATTCTGTGATGCTCAATGGATGCAGGAGTGAGAAGACCACTGGAAATCCTTCTACCCCAAACTGTTCCATAGCATGAAGTGCCAGGATCCTCCAGCTGTGCCAAGCAAGGTCTGACTTGAAAATAGAGAATAGTATAGGAAATAAACCCTAGGTGGTTTTTGTAAGCTAAAGAGAATTGGTTTCTTTATGCACCTGAGCAAAGCTCAGAGCAGCAGCCCAGCCATGTTAAAACTATCATTCCCAGGTCATCTGCAGGGAGGAACTGGCACACTGTGGCACTGAGGGGAAGGACACGGTGACCTCTCCATTAGAAAGTACAACAGTGCAACAAGCTGGGATCTCAGCTACTCCTTCCTACCACAGGCTTGGAGCAAACAGCCTTCCTGGCCTCCTGCCTTGGAGCAGTTCTGGTGAATTCCTTGAGCCTCAGCAGCCCCAGCCTCTCTGGCCAAGGTGCAAGGGGCAGAGAAAGGCGAGCCACACGTTCCCTCATGAACAAGTGTTATGACAAAGTGAGTGGAAAAGGAGAGGAGTGGAGAGGGAGTGCAGGACGGACACACTCTCACTCTTTGGCCCTTTCAAACACTTTCTGACCACAAAAGCCTCTGCATCACCACCCAGCACAGCTGAACTGTCAAGAGAGAAGCTTCTCTGGAGGCGAGGAGGGTCTGGTGCCATGACCCCCAGCCCCACACGGGGAGCACTGAGGGGCTGCTCAGCCAAGGGCCGCTCCTGCCTCCCACCCACACTCACGTGTTACATCCTGACCAGCTCTGTCAAGTGTTTGCTTGGTCTACCCTGAGCAGATTCCTCACATGAAGGTGCTTTTCCTGGTGGGGGGAGAGGGTGGGAGCGGGGCAGGGCTGCAGGGAGTGGGCAGTCAGCACTCGTTTGCTCTTTCTGGGAAGAAGATTTCACGGCATCGCTGGACCGTGTCCTGCGGGGACTGGACACTGTGTCCTACAGTGCGGGGATCATCATAGATTTCATAATCGTTCCCTCCCTGCAGGGGAACAGAAAACAGGGACAGCATTAGCAGGGTCTTGCCAGAACAAACTCATCCATGAATCCACATTTTGCTCTGTCCCGTGGGAAGCTGGGCTGGGAGCCAGAGGCTGGGCAGGCAGGGACTTGGTGGGCAGGGGCAGGCAGGGCTTTGCTGGCCCACGGGAGCAGAAGAGGCTGGGCTGGGAGCTCTGCTCCCTCCCTCTTGCCTCCCTCTTCAGTGCCAGGGGAGGAGCATGGAAAAGATGGGGAAGGTTCCAGATCGGCAGAACTTGCCCAGGAGCCTGGGTTAACCCCTGCCCTGCCTGTGGAGGGGCTAGCAGAAGGTGGGATGGGCACATCTGGGGAGCAGAGGCTGCCAGCATCTGGGAAGGGCTGAGTGAATGACCAAGCTGATCTCCAGCAGTAAGCAAGCTTCATCCTCCACTGCTCTAAAGGGAAGGTGAAGCTGATCCTGCTGTTGAGGAGTTCTCTCCCAAGTGCTGGGAGCTTGTGTTCTGGGTCATGCAGGCCACAGCAGTGGCTGCTGCCTCCCGAGGGTGCTGGGGCAAGGGAAGCAATGCTGAGGTGTACTTGCTTCCCAGCACAGTGAATCCAAGGTGATTTCCCCACGAGCCAGCAGAGCCATCATGAGAGCAAACCCACAGCATAGGGCAGCATCCTCCCCCCTCACACCACTAAAGGTCTGTGTTGGCACCAGTGGGACCATGGGACCCACAGGACCCGTGATGGAGCAGCAGCAGGGAAAGCAGCCAGTGTGGGGCGAGTGGGGCATACTCACAGGGGTTGTCTCGTTCCCAAAGAAGTGGATGGTGTCAAATCTCTCGTCGTCGAGCACATTGAGGCAGTAGCGCTTGTCCCAGCCCTCTGGGAACACATCAAAGCTGATCATGCCACCTGCCAGGAGAAGGGAGGGCATCAGGCAACACTGCTGGGAGCTGGCAGGGTGTCCCCCCACCCTGGGATGGGCAGGAGGATGGGAGTGGGGCTGGATGTCTGGGGGGAGCCCCCACCCCAAACACCAGCTCTGCCTTGGTGTTCCTCTTGGCACATGGCTAGGATATGGCAGAGGCTGTTCCTATGACAACAGGCTGCAGTGACATCAGCATGTCTGGGGTGACATTAGCACAGCTTCCCTGCAGGCAAGCAGGAACCAGAGGGTTCTTCCCAAGAGAAGAGGGTTCTTCATCTCTTGGTGGGGAGATTTTGGGTCACGCCTTGCAGATAGCAGCAGCACGTTCTGTGTCCCAACAGGGGACAATGACCTTGGAGACTGGCACCAAACTCTCTCCTAAGCCCCTGCTAGACATCACTGGCCCTTCCAAAATCACTCTTCTGATGCTCCTTAACTGTGCAGGGACTGGGGTCTCCTGCATGCTGTCTCTGCACACTGATCAAGGACCAAGCACCTTGCCGTGGAGGTACCACCAACCCACTGACATAATCAGGGCACGACCCTGACCTGTGACCTCTTGACACAAGAATTTAGTGAGGGTTGCCAACATCTGGAGAGGCACCAAGTCCCATCTGACCAACACAGAGTGGCAAGGGAGCTTTCCCAGAGAACATGTGCATGGACATGGACACCCACAGCCACCCAGGGTTAACCAGGTGTCCCAGCCCTTGCTCTTAGAGCAGGCAGAGTTTACCCCAGCACTCTGCTGCTTTTTGGGGGTGCTTGGAGGCAGCAGCTTCCCCATCCTCAAGTTCCCCACTGTGTCCACAGGCTGCAGAGAGACTCTTGTCCCAGCACCAAGACAGGAGACAAGCTCTTCCCAAAATAGAGCCTGCAGCTTAGGGCACATGCATGCTTGAGTCTCACTCAGAGCCAGAGGTACAGAGATTCGAGCTGGCATGTGTGACCTCCTGCCAGTCAGCTTGTCTTCTCCAGGCAACCTACTGCAGTATCCACAAGAAATCCTGGAGTTTCACACTCTCCTTAAATGATAATCCCACCTCTCTAAGGAAGAGGGTGATGAGAAAGATAATCACAGGGTCAGTTCCTGCTGAAGAAGAGGTACTGACACCCCAGGTTGCTCAAACATGCAAGCCCTGATGCCACGCACCTCCCCTTCCTGGCTGTTTGGAGTGTCCCTGTTGGTTTGGGGATCCTGAACCAAGCCTCCTTGGAGCCTGAGAAGATGGGGATGGAGCCTATATGTCCACCTTGCAGCAGAGAAACTGGACAGGCCACTGTGATAAGGATGGGAGCAAGTGCCCTATGAGCCCAGGGGAGGCTTGCAGCAGGATCCAGCATCAGAGAAGGAGCTGAATTTGGTGACACCCTCTTTTCTTGCATCCAAAGCCATTTACCTGTACAAACCACTGCCTCTCCCTGCATTCTAACCCTCTAAACAGAGCTGGGCAGTAGGAAGGGGCTCTTGATGTCAGCTGGTGCAGGTAAGAAATCAGAGGGTGAAGGGGTGTTGTGAACCAGCCAGCACTGCTACTTCCCTAGGTACAGCAGGGCCTGGGGGGCTGCAGGGAGACCTCCCACCACCTCTGGGCCTTGAGTCCTCCACAGCCAGCAGAAGGCACATGGAGCCAGCCTGGCAGAGGAGCTGTGTTTCTGCATGCCCTTTTTTCAGATGCCTGACCTGAGACACCCCACATTTTCTTTGTGGAGAAGCAGGGGGCCCACAGCTCCCCTTCATGTTCTTATACTACAGGCCTGGGCTCTGTGTGGCAGCTCCCCAAAGCCCAGGGAGAAAGGCCCATTGTCCAGCTCTCACACCCTGTGCCTGAGGGCACACAGCAGCAGGGCCCTTGTCTTTCTCTGCTCTGACAAATGGTGTGTGCCAGTGCTGTGGGCAGCACAGAATGCCCCTGGCAGGATGCTGAAGGCAAGTGAAAGCTCTTGGAGGATCAGAGGGCCTGGGGTGTCACCCACTGCCTCAGCCTCACCACCCCCTTGCCCTCTGGCTGGGCTGCCACATGGAACCTTCCTATCTCACACCCCTGCAGAGGATCCTCTTCTAGCATCACCCCCACAACTTACACACCCTCATTTTTCTCCCTGTCCTGGCCAGACACCCAGGATTGCTTAAGCCCCTCCTTCAGCTCTGCACCTTTGGTAAGTTGGGTGTCAGACCATCCCTGGAAGTGGCCCTACAAAAGCCCATGGCAGGGAGCTGCAATCTCCTTACTCCTTGTCAGATCTCCCTCCAGGAAGAAAGATACTTCCCTTGCAGCTAACTGTCCCAAAAAAGCCCCAGAGCCAAGACATGCATTAGTCTCCTGTCCCATTCCTAGAGAAGACTGCATGTGCCTGGGGCTGGCTGCCATGCTGCTGGTGCTTGAGCCAAAACAGATCCATTGGGCAGCAGTGGGCTCCACTAGCTGAGATTAAGGCAGGGATAATGCCACAGGATGGAAACCTGTCTGTCTGGCCGATTCCCAGCGAGGGAAGTCTGCAGCATGGCTTTCTCTCTGCATGGATGCAGACGTCATGCATGCAAATGTGACTCCCCTGTGGCAGCTCTCCAGGACCAAAATCTGCTCTTCCCAGGGTTTCCAGACACTCAGAGGGAACAGCTGAGATTCCTGCTCCCTTTCACAGAATTTTATGGGAAATATGATAAAGGCAAAGCCAAGGAACCCTCCCTGCTCACCTCGAGAGAAACGCAGGCCTTTGCCAGCAAACTCCCTCTGCAAGGCTGCCACAAACTTCTCCCGTATCCGCTCTTTCTGTGGAGATCAGGAGGAAAGGGAAGAAAAGAGAGTTTGAACAATTAGATGTTGAGTCTCCCAGAATCCACCGTAACCTTCTGCTGGGCAACTCTGCTCCCTCCCCAGCTGCCTGGGGCCCCAGTGCCATGCCATTTAGCCAGCTGCCACCAGCCTGCCCAGTGTCCAAGCAGGCCACCAGCTCACTCCACTGGGAGGAGCAGATCCCAGATTTTCCTTGGCAATGAAATGCCACTGCTTCAGTTCCTCACAGCCCAGTTCATAACCCAAACCCTCCAGGTTTGATTAAAAAGTCTTGCAAAGACCAGCTGATCCCTCAACCCAAGATAGCTTCTCCAGGCAGAAACCGGTATGAGCATGGGCCAAATCCTCTGGAGACCTGCCCAGCAGACCTGCCATGACCCTCCCAGTTTGGAAAGCCCATTAGTTCCAGCTCTGTTGGGGCTGGGGAAATGGGAGAGAGAATACAGCTGCTGGGCCATCTTTGGGTACTGCAAATGAGGAAACACACTGCTAAAGAACTGCCTCATTCCCTGAGGCTCTCCCACAGCACAGGGAATCCTGCTGGCCACCCCCTTGCGTTGGTGGTCCCTAATGAAATAAAGTTTCTTTCACTCATTTGTGTCTTCCTTGGGTTTCCTGGCTCCCAGTCCTGTCTCCCCCTTGTTGCATATGCACAGCTTGAAGCTGGACCTCCCTTCTCCTTGGGAAGGGGGGGGAACACGTAAGACCTGAGATCTGGGCTGGTGCAAAACCAGCCAGGGGGAGGCTGAGCCCAGCTCTGGCCCTTGTACCTTGTCCAGCTCGGAGAACTCGATTCTCTCCTCCGGGGTGCAGCTGCGGCCAATGGGGGAGATGTTCAACATTCCATTGCGAAACTCAATGAAGGTCCCTCTGCAGGGGGCAAAGGCACCAGGTTACTGGGGCAGGGAGAGGAAAACAACCTTTCCAGGAGAATGGCTGCTCAGTGAGGCTCTGCAGGAACGTGCAGGAGGAGAGAAGCCATGCCAGGTCACAGGTCAGGCACCCACAACTGCTTAAGGTCCCAGGGTGTTTTATAAAGTTTTATAAAAAGAGATTGAGAAAGAAGAGAAATAAACAGTCCCTCCGTGGCCTGGGGATAGGCTGGAAGCAATGAGCTTAGGGGAGATGACAGATGACATTTTCTAATGTTGTGATAACTGCAAAGACAGCTATTCCCTGGCCTGGACCAGCTGCCTCATGAAGCTGTGGCACCTCTACCCCTGAGGCTCTTAAGACACGCTGTGTGGGCTGGGTGAAGCTGGCAGTTACTTGGGGCACTGGGATGGCCCAGGTCAGTGTGACTCACTGCTATGTCCGGCAGCAGGCTGAGGAGCAATCAGTGCCTCCTCAAGGGACACAAATCAGGGTCTTTGTATCTCCCTCTTGACCCCTGCACCTTTGACTGCAGCTCTTATCTAAGGCTGCACAGACAGGATCCAGTTCCTGCTCGCCACCCTCACCTTGTGCTGGGGTCACTTCTCGGCCGCTTCCTCGCTGGGGTGCTTGAAAGCACTGAGCTGGCAGAAAGCTGCTCCCTTCTTTTGTGTCTGGTAAAAACCCAGCTACTTCTGTTTGCTTATCGAGGGGTCAGACAGCTGTACCAGTACTGGTAGGGCAGAAACAACAAGGGATGGCAGCCCTGACAGTGTGAAAACAGACAAATTCTTGTGCTGGAGAGGGAGATCCTCTCCCCTGTCCAGCTGAGGACCCCTGAGCTCATTGTCCCTCCCAGCCCTGCCTGCTGTTTCTCTGTGATAAAGTGCTTCCCACCCCGAGTCTGGAGGAAAAGCTCTCCCCCTCCTATCTCCTGACACAGTGAGGAACATCATGGAATGGACACACAGGCAGCCATGCCTGCAGCCCAGGAGCAGCATCTCTGCAGCACCGAGGGTTTGGTGGCCCACACCCCAGGCCAGGACTCAGGAGATGTGGGTTAAAGTCCTTGCTTTGCTAGAAATCCCATAAGGCTAAATCCACAGAGCTGCTTGGGAGCTGAAACTCCACCAAGGCTGTTGGGTAAGCAGACAGCAATGAGGCAACCAAACAGCCTTGAGGGCTCTGGGTCCCAGCCCGTACTTTCCGGGGCCTGTTCTGCCAGCAGTCCTGTTGCAGGGAGCCACCCTAGCACCCCTCTCTGGTCCTTGTACTGCCACGTGGTGACTCACAACAAACAACTAATCTGGTCACAGTTTAGCAACTTCTATCAGATTCATTTCACCTGCTTGTGTTCACTGTACAAACACGGGAAGAGCAGGAAAACAATCAGCCATGGCAAGGGGAGGGCAGAGCTGCTGCTCCCAACAGCCCTGAGTGGCTCACGTGTTCCTGAAACTGTGGTCTGAGGTGAGGTTTGACCCTGCAACCAGGCTGGTTTAACTGCAGGCTGCATCTGAAAGAGGTTCTCCTGATCCCCCCTTCCACCTTCACGCCATTAGTTCTCTCTCTCTGTCTCTTTCTGTGCTAACAGTGAGCTGATCCAGTGGAAGACCACCCTTTCCTGTCCTGGTAGTGGCCTGGTCTTCCTTCAGCAGAGGTGTACCAACCTCGCTCACCCTCTGGCTGCTGGATCTCAAAGGGAAGAGCAGAGAGGAGCACAGGGTAGGGAGCAGAGCAGGGCCAGCCAGCAAACCGGGTTAGAAACAGTGGGAAAAGGGGTGCTCAAGGACTTCCCATCCTCAGATCCATTGTTTGCCTGGTTGGAAACATATACTACCAGTGATGCCTGATGCCCTGACCAGTAACAAGCTGGCACCATTGTCCTAAATGAGACACACATGGTGGCTGCACTCTGCTTCCCAAGGAGGAAAATCCAAGGGGCAAAAGAGCAGGCATTATGCTAAAACATAATGCAGACTGTTCAGAACAAACACACTCCTCCATTATTTGCCCACAGTGCTCAGCTCAGGGAGACAGTGACCCTACACAGTGCCTGTGGGCGCTAAGATAAAACCTGGAGCAAGACAAGCTCTGTAGATCAGCTCTTTTTAGGGGAGATCTGGAGCTCAGCTCCATAGAAATCAGTGTCATGACTTCCACTCTGTAGGCTTGAGCCATTACCGTTTCTTGGGCAGCTTCAGCAGCGCCATGTAGTTGAGACAGAAGTTGATCAGATCCTGCAGCAGCTCCTCCCCCAAGTGGTCCTGAATGGCCTGCAGAAAGAGAAGGGCAAGTGACACTGCTTGACTTCCCAGGAAGCCCACCTGGAAAAGGTAGCAACTGGGGAGAAGAGGCCGCCCCTCTGCCTGGGTAGGGCAGGCGCTGCTCCCCAGGGAGCAGGAGAGCCATGGCTGCAAAGGGAGCTGGACTCACCTGCTTGGAGACCAGCTGCCCGTTCTTGTACTGCACTGTGCCGTTCTCTGCGAAGACGTAGTCAAACTTATCAATGACTGAGAGGGGGAGGAAAAAAAGAGGAAACATTACTACTGCTTGGGAAAAGGAGCAAAAAGGACTGGCATCAGGACTGAGTGATGTCTTCTTGTTTCCCTCCACAGCTCCTGTGCTCTGCAAAGAGCCACTGGCCATCCTACGCTGCTCGCTTTCGGCAAAGTGGATGAGGAGATTATCTTCTGCTCACGGGTGGGGAGGTGACGCACGCAGGGGGAAACGACCTGACTGAGGTCACGGGTTGAATCAGTTGCACGACGAAGATAAAGGCTCACAAATGTTTGGCTTTCAACTACATACGTGCTACTCCGCTCCCTGCTGTGCCCTCCCCGCTGCCAGGCTGCTGGGGTGATGTGGTTACTGGTTATCTAACTCCAGCCCCCCCTGCAAGCCAGACACGCAGCACTGGCGCCTCAGCAATCGGCCTCAGCCGGGAATTTCTCGGCCTCCCTCCACTAACGAAGTGGAAGGCAGAGCTTGGAGCCCAGTGGCGCTTGTCATCCATGCCGGAGAAGGAGAACACGGTGGAGGAGGCAGTCGCTGCCTCCTTGCCCTCCCACTCCTTACCCTACCCCATGCCCCCATCGGAAGGTGAGGAGGAACCTGCGGGGACCCCAGCACGGAGCAGCAGGGAGGCGAAAACTGCAGGCGGGGCGTGCAGCTGTCAGAGCTCGGAGGCAGCTCGTACCAAACGAGCCGGCAGCCCAGGACTGGAGCCGGCAGCACGGATTGGAGCATCCCTGCCTGCCCTCCACACCCGGGGAGAGGGAGGCAAGCAGCAGCTCCCGCCTGGGCACGGCCAGCCTCGCCAAGGGCAGCCTCGGGGTTGCATTTAGGGCACAGCCGCCCCCCGGGAGACCTCGCCCGCCCCGCTCACCTTCGTCCCCTTCCCCCAGCTGCTCGGCTATCTTGGCATAGTCGGAGCCTCCCACCACGCCGATGTGCACCCTCTGCCGCAGCTCCCGCAGGAACGCGTCCACCTCCGGCTCGATTTTCTGGCGGGGAAGCAGCGGTGAGGCCGCAGCCGGCGGGACGAGCTCCGCCTCGCTGGCCGAGCCCCCCGCGCCCCGCGCCCCCGCGCCTCGCTACCTGCCGGGCCGGCGTCAGGGTCCCGTCCACGTCGAAGAGACAGAGCACCCGGCCCCGCGCCGCCGCCATCCCGCCCGGGCAGTGCGGGCGGGGCGGGACCGCGGGGGCTGATGGCGCCTGCCCGCCCTCAGGGGCCGCCGGGCGGGACGTGCCGGGCCGGCGCCCCTCGTGCGCTCCCCCGCCGCCCCTGAAGGATGCACTCCGGTGCCGTCTTGAACGGCCTCGGCTCTTTCCTAAATCATTTCAGAGCCCCGAGTCTGGGGGAGGGTGCGCGTGTGGCGCGCCTCTTCACGTTCGCTGTTATTCCCGCAGTGCCCCCGGAACTGAGGGGTCTGGCTCTGGATTGCGCTGCCTCCGAAGTTCAGCTCCTCTGGGGGTTTCCGTGTCCGAGTGAAGGGCACAGGAGCAGCACGCACTTTCCTGGACAGTGCCTCACCTTGCTTTTCCAATGGGATGCTGTTAATATTTTCACTGGGGAAGCGAAAATACCCTCTGCACAAAGCCAGTAGCTTTTGCTTTGACCCCCCTACCATTTGCCCCACGAGTCATTTAGGATTTAATTAGACCATCTGGTCAGACCGTATTCATACAGCGCTGTATTATGGTGGCCTGATGCTGACAGCCGGCCCCATACCCCTCCTCCTCCCCACCCCCCGGTCTCTTACAGTAATTCCTGAATTATTTTCCAAAATCAAAACCAGCTTATGTGGAGCATCCAGTGCTTTCTGTTCAAAAATTAGCTTGCATTCTCTCCCCCAACAGCTCAGTGTGCTGAGCTAGATTGGAACTGAGGAGATTTATTCTCCTTTTACAGTCTGATTGTTTTCGCCTCAGTATAATTTGTTCCAGGATATTGTGCAACCCCTTTTCCCAGTTCTCCACGAGATTCCTCTCAAAAGTAAGCATTCAGGTAGCTTCACAGATTCTGTTTTTTTCTTGTTTGCGGTTTATGATTTCCCTGCTCCCACTCAGTGGCAGGGGTATGCACAGAAACAATGTTAATAATTCATCTCTCTGCACTGCCTCGGACAAGGTTTACCAAAGTACCCTCAGCTGCTTCCTGGGGGAGACATTCCTTGAGTCCACCAGGACAGCTGTTTCCATACTGTTTCTGTGAGCTGCCTCCACAACACAGCAAGTCAGGAACCTTGGATGGGTATTACCTGTGTTACTCACCCCAGCACTGGTATTTCTGCAGAATCTGTGGCCCTCTGGGTCAGACCCTGGTTATGGGCTCCCACCTCTGGAAAGGTGGACCTTTTCTCAGATGCAGGGAAGCTCCCAGAACAGTTTCAAAGTAGCACCCAGCTACTTTGTATGCAGTTGGGTGCCGAGTTTTGAGTTGAGTCTAGGTTATGCTCATTTGTAGGACTTGTTGAGGCATGGTTTCATCAGTTAATGTGTGGACACTTTCTCCAAAATACGAATCCATCCAAGTTTGCCTACCATGGCATGCTGATGGGTGAGTAGGGATGCCTTCCTGCGTTTGGGTGCTTGAGTGCCAGAAGCCAAGGAACTGTTTTTCCACACAGCAGAGCTGTGAGCTAACGCCCAAGGCTCTCAAAGAACAGCCGTGGGGTCAGACACACCATGAACTCCCGGGGTTTCAGAAATGCAAACCTTTATTTTTCATAAACCATGACATGGTATGAGGAGGACACTTGCCACGTCTGGGTGGAAGCGGTGTGGAGTTAGAAAAGTAGCAGCACTGGGTTCTCCATGGTCTTGTCTCCTGGCTGCTCCTACCTGCAGCTTTCTTGTCGGTGAGAGACCTCCCTCGTGCCTCTTGCACTGACATCACCATGGGCATTCCAAAAGCGGGAGCTGCTCTCCCCAGGCTCAGGTGCATCCCTGTGCTGCAAGGCAGCACTGCCACCTCGGGGCACTTTCCAGAACTGGGAGGTCTGCTCAAATACTGGACAGCGTTCACATTTTCACACTCCTGCAGTACTATTGGGTTCATGCTCCCCAGGAAGAACTTCCTGAAACCTTCCTGAATTACCTGCTGTGCTTTCTCAGCTTCTCGTGCTGCTTTGGGGAGTCTCTTCACATGAAAATGCTTCTCCCAGGAGGCGCCTTGGCAGCCATTTGGTATCAGCTGGTGAGGACCTGGGACAACTTGGTTTTCCTGGGAGCATAAACGTGCCTTGTGCTTTAGTGCACAGCTGTCCACAGCTGTGGCTGTTCCCTCAGCTGGTTAGCTCTGAGATCAGGGCCACCGTGGCTGTTCTGGTTATTTAATACTTCACACTCCAGCCACTCCTGGTACATTCGCTTGGTTGCCGCTCGGATAGGCAGCAGCTGTTGTCAGGAATAAAATCTCTGTTACACAGGAAAGGCCAGGAAATTTTGTTTGAGGTTTAGAAGGCAAGCAACCGTGAGCACTGGCTTACACTCTGTCTAGAGCTGCCATTAAGGTCAAGGTTTTCCTTTTAGCTTTAGAATTTAATTTTTAAAAAGCAAATCAAAACAAAAAAGATTAAAATACCTGTTTCCAGGTATTTTCTGTGGAGCCAGTACTAGTACTTGGTAGCAAACTAGCACCACATCTGAAGAACACAGCCAAAATAACCACAATCACACATCTCTGTTACAATCCCCTTCTGTTACAAAACCTCTTCTGTACTGTGCTGATACAGACTCTTACACAAACAGCAAACTGTGTGGTTTGTCATTTGGATACCATCAATAAGCATGCAGAAGGCTGAACCAAGCAGAATGAATTTCTTCCCCAGAGCCAGGTATTTTAGGCAGTGCTATTTAATCCTCCCCAATATACCCTCTGAAGCTCCAGAGGAACACAGTCATGAAGTCTATTTCTTACTCTACTGCTTTTTTTCCCCCCCTTTTTTCCCCTTTTGAAAGTAGCATCAAGGCAGTCAGGAAAATACTTTTTTCCATGTTAAAACTCTGTTTGGCCTCTTCTTCAATAGCAGGCATGAGACGTTTTTTACTCGTAGACTTAGATGACCAAAGGCTGAACAAAACCTGTGCTGACAGAACATCTTCATTCACCTCATCCAAGCTGTGTCAAGCTGCAGGAGTATAGTTTTAAGTACTGTGGTACTTACAGAAGAAAAGATTTCCCAGATTTAAATAAGAATATTGCCTTTGGCCAGTCAGAGCAAAGGGCAGTTGCCACCACTACTTCCAGAAGCAGCACCTGGCACAAACTGCTGGGACAATTTCTCATGCTGCACTTCCCAGGTGGGACCAGAGTGAAGATAATGACTGCTGGGCAGCTGTGTGGGTACATGCATTCAATCAGAAAAATGTGTTGTATTTATTTTTATTGTAATAGAAAAAAACCCCACAAGTAAATCAAAACATCACTTTCTGCCTAAAGACATTATTAACATTTTTTAAATGGCATGGGGGAACCTCAGCAATACAAGACAGAATAGTTAAGTGTGGGCAAAAGGATTCTGTTTCCTTTCAGGATTTCAGTTTCCCTGCCCCTTTGTCAAACAGCTGGCTGAAGTTCATCACCTATATACATTTACATACACTTCTCAGTCTAGTTTGTTTTCAGCTGGGTGGAACATTGAGGGCACAGTCCTGCAATTTACACATAACCATCTTTGGAGAAAACAGGTTTCCTAAGAGTCCTACAGGGTACAGGGGTCTCATTACCCAGTAAGACCAAGCAAAGAGGATTCCCTCTTACAATTCTCTGCCACAAAAAAAAAGAGTAGGTCCCGAGCCCAGGAGCTCTTTGACTATTGCAAACAATATATGGCTGAATGATATTTTACCCAGTGACCTTAAAGAAGGAGCATTATCTCTGCAAAGGGGCTCTGCTCAGGAGGGGAAAAGGCAGATTGCAAAAATGCACAGGGTGAATGTCTTCCGTTTCTTTTCTGCCCCGAGAGGATGCAAAAAGTCCTGAAGTAGGCAGCCAAGCAGAAACTAGGCTCAGGACATCCAAAATGGTGGACATCCAGGGCATATCCTCATTGTGTCAGTGTGTGTGGGGCAGAAACCATGGCACCTCTGCTTCCATCACAGGCAGCTGTGCCTGAAGTGACAGTTTGCTGAAGGGCAGGCAAGCACAGCTGTGCTGCTTGCAGGTACCAAACAAGCACAGCAGGATGCTGGGCTGCACTGTCAGCTTGAGTGGACCTGCTCAACTGAGGAAGCTCCAAGATCTCTAACATGATCTATAGCAGTTTGTGGCACAGTCATGTGTGTATTAAGGTGAAAGGCTGGTTACTCTTCACAAGCATGTATGGGAGAAGACTGGAGATAATACATATACTGGACAGGAAAGCTAAGCTATGGCATAGTAAAACCAAACACCAACCCTTCCTCCAGGAGCATCAAAAGGCATTCACAACTGACTTTCATAGAATGTTTTCTGCCACCAGGACATTTGGAGGGGGAAAGATTGAAAACTTTTGTATAAAGCCATCTGTAGTAACTGCTACACAGTTACCTCTGAGTCCAGTCCATCAAATGAAATGCTTAAGGAGAAGGTGATGGCACAAGCTGAGAATGAGAAGGAAAAGAAGCATCTGGGCTGCAGGGGCCACTGCTGTGCACTGAGAGCAGGTAAACATGAAACAGCAGAATGGCCTCACAATACCCTATTCCCATCTGTGCACTGGCTCCACAAGGTGCAGGACAACAGAGTATTTGACAATGACTAAATTGCAGTTTTCCTCTATTCCAACCCCTCAGAAATACAAACTGTATAGTCCACACAGAATAACAGTGTGAGAAATTTATCAATCTGCATTATTCTGGGAGAAAGAGCCCAGCAGAGGAAAGACATCTCCTTTAGGTATATAAGAAGTTTCCAGTGCAGGAAGTTTGAGATGCAGGACTGAATGGTAGCAATACTTTTCACAACAAAGCACTGGACAAATGGCTGTACATTTGCATAGATGCTTTTTTGGCAGCATCTGGGATGTGCAATCCCCACTTAGAGAGCATCAGCAGTGTTCTGGGGTTTGTCTGATGTCTTTCTTATATTCCTTCCTACATGTAACTGCTACAAAATGGTTCAGGAAAGTAGTGTATATATATTTGCATGAAAAGAAAACATTGTGCCTATTTTTTCATTCCCCTGTTCTTTCCCACTGCAAGTAAATGCAAAGCTCTAAAAATCTTAAACTAGAAGATGCAGTATTGCTATAATTAAAGGTTAATCTAAGCACAGGACTGCTTCTGCATGTACCCCAAGAAACTCAGTTACTCCACAGAAAAGCTTAATTTTACTCTTCCTCATTTTCTTTATGTTTGGGGAGACCTAGCACTTATTTCTCTTAAGGAAAGCCCTGATGTGCTTGACAGCTTTGGAAAGGGCAGCACTTTGTTGGAACTCCTACTGTGTCTGCAATTGGATATTGAAGGCAGAATTGGTCCAGCTGGTATTATCATGCAGTTGCCATGCTACTCCTGCCTTACTGTACTGTAACTCTGGCTTTGCAAGTTAAAAAAAAAACTACAAGAAAACAGTTCTTATGCATTAACAAGGTTCTATCTGCTGATAAGCTTATGTGTGAGAAAAGAAACATTTCACTTCATTTTACTTTCCCCTGAAATTTGTCTCTACCACTTCTGCTCATGAGATTCTGTTCTTTCAGCTGGTTCTTTCCCATAACTCTTGGATGTGGCATT